TCCTCCACTGTCTTTTTTTTTTTTTTTTTTTTTGTGCCACCCAGTGAAATCTCAAAAGCTAGCCAGGGATTACCAGATGTTTATGGGAAGTTCTAACACGAGGGGGAAAAGTCCAAAACAAGAAACAGCAAAACAAAATTGCAAAGGCAGTATGCTTAATTTCCAAAGAGAGATAAGAGAAGACCAAGAAATGAGGAAGGGTGTGTCTTAGTCGGCTGAGGCTACTGTAACGAAATGCTATAAACCCGGTTGCTCACAAACAGCAGAAATGTATTTCTCACRGTTTTGGATGCTGGGAAGCCCAAGAAGGCACTGGCAGATTTAGTGTTTGGTTAGGGTCCTCTGAGGCCTTCTCTCCGTGTCCTCAGCAGTGGAAGGGGTGGGCTAGCTCTCTGGGGTCTCTTTTATAAAGGCAATAATTCTACTCATGAGGGCTCCATGTTCATGAACTGCTCACCTCCCAGAGATCTCCACCTTCTGATCCATCACTTCAGTGATTACGGTGATTATGTTTCAAGTTAAGGATTTTATGGAGGTTACAAACATTCAGGACACAAAAGAAGTCACGATCATATCAAGAAAGGGCTTTTGGTAATTAAAAGAGAATATTTAAAAAATAACCAGTCATGGGCTGGAGATATAGCTCAGTTGGTAGAGTGCTTGCCTTGCATGCACACGGCCTTGGGTTCGATCCCTAGCACCACAAAAAAAAAAAAAAAAAAAAAAGAATAGAAATAGTCAGTGAAATTTCAGAAAATAGTACAAAAAGATAGGTGGAAAAATGTGAAAGAAAATGWAGGGCTCCAGACTGAAAGTCCAATATCCAGCTAAAATGGTGGGAAAGAAATTATCAAAGAAACAATACAAGAAAATTTCTCAAAAGGACAGAGTCTCAAGATTGAAGGGTCCACCAAGTAAGCAAGACAATGAGGAGGAAAGACTCCGACAAGGGCAAGTCTTTAGAAGGCTTCAGAATTCAAAAGAATGAAGAGGAGACCTCAAGACCTCCCTAAAAGTAGCAGGCATCACACAGAGAACTAGAGTCACATGGCATGAATGTCTCAGTAGCAAGACTGGAAGTGAGAAGAAACTGGAACTAATTCTTATGACTCTGAGGGAAAATGATTTTCRACCTAGAATTCCACATCAACCCAGGGAACATTCACCATCAAATACAAGGACAGAAAGGAAACACTTTCAAATATGCAAGATCTCAAAATATGTCCATGTACCTTTATTCCAGAAGGTTCTGGGGGATGTTCTGGTGAAGCCAAAGGAGTAAGCTAAGAAAGGGGAGGACACAGAATTTAAGAATTAAGAAACGGGGGAGCCAGTAGAGTTGAGGARTGAATTGCAGACCCAGGTGACAGCTATGCAGCAGACCCAGGAGGACCAGCTTTAGATTGGAACAGTGGAAGGATGTTCCCAGAGAAAAAGTGCAACCATTGCCCTTGGGCTATGCAGAAAATGGTGAAGAGTCTGTAATAGAGATGATGAATCATTAAAAAACAAAAGCCTAAATAATCAGGATGTCAAACAAAATAAAACAAAACAAAACACAATTCAAGTGGCTAGGTAGGGTGGTGCACATCTAAAATCACAGTGAGGCTGTGGCAGGAGAGTAACAAGTTTGAGGCCAGCCTTGGTAACTTTGTAAGACCCTGTCTCAAAAATAAAAGGAGCTGGGGATGTGGCTCAGTGGTAGAGGGCCCCTGGGTTCAATCACCAGTGCCAAAAAAAAAACAAAAACAAAACAAAACAAAACCCCAAAACTAGTCATGTATGTTGTATAATTTTAAAAATAAATAGCACAAATGAAATGATAATCAACTCCAGGATGAAATAAAGAGTTCTACAGGAAAGAAAGCACAAGCCGGATGCAGTGGCGCACGTCTGTAATCCCAGAAGCTTGGGAGGCTAAGGCAGGAGCATCGAAAGTTCAAAGCCAGTCTCAGCAATTTAGTGAAGCCCTAAGCAACTTAGTAAGACACTGTCTCAAAATAAATAAAAAGGGCTGGGGATGCGACACACAGCTCAGCGGTTAAGTGTCTCTAGGTTTAATCCCTGGTACCAGAAAAAAAGAAAGAAAGAAAGAAGAGAAACACAGACACTACATGAGACTTGGCTCTGCAGTGAACAATGTTTTCATAACCATCGTAATACAAATACCAACTACAGATTCATCCCAAATTTGTGACAGAACCCCACTGAGAGGAATGGGAGGTAGGACGTATTATGGGCGTTGGGTCCCCATCTATCATGGCAACAAATCAACAGATGGCAACTACAATGAACAGATCAAGAAGGCCTACTATACACGTTGTTTAGAAACATGGGGACCACATCAGGGACCTCAGCTGAGGTGCTGACAGCAGTGWCTGTGGGAAGCTGGCCTGTGGAGTGGGGACCATGGCCTCTCATTACAACTCTTTTAGTACTTTTTAGCTTTTAAAAACATGTACTTGTTGTATTTTTATATGTATATTGTTTTAAAATAAAGTTAATGTGGGCTGGGGATGTGGCTCAAGCGGTAGCGCGCTCGCCTGGCATGCGTGCGGCCCGGGTTCGATCCTCAGCACCACATACCAACAAAGATGTTGTGTCCGCCGATAACTAAAAAATAAATATTAAAAATTCTCTCTCTCTCTCTCTCTCTCTCTCTCTCTTTCTTTAAAAAACATAAATAAAGTTAATGTACTAAGGGGAAGCATGATAGTTTGGTTGTTTATCTTGATGAATCCCTAATTAGTGGACTATCAGGGTAAGGAAAATTTAGAGATTGTAGGGTAAAAGAACCGGGGAGGGGTTACAGGAGTAAGAAGCAAAAGGGAAGCAGGGAACCGCCTAGAACGCACGCAGCAGCTGCCATGCCAGGGGTGGCTTGCGTATTTAGGTTCCCAAACACATTGCTTTTAAAACACATTGCTTTTGGACTATAAAAGTAATAAAAATTTATTAKAGGCACTTGGGAAAGTACAAATGAATAAATAAAGAGGGAGAGAGAAAAAATTGAATCCCACCCCAAATCTCATTATACTTAGGTAATAATTATTATAACTTGTTGGCACATCTTAAAGTAAAAGAGGGTTATACTACATAAATATTTCTCTGTTGCACTTTATTTCCTCTTTGTATTTTTCCAGATAACTGTTGTCTTTGGAAAATGATTTAAAATGACCTCTTGGTGTTCCAATATATGAGTAGATATCAGAAGATAGCCATTCAGTCAAAAGACACAATATCCAAAGGAAGTCATTTGGTCCTCCCAAATCCTGTGAGGTCTGTGTTATTATTATATCCATTGCACAAACTAGGGAGGAGACCATTACAAAGTTAAATAATTGCTACAGGTCACATGCTAATAAGCAGGAGTTCTAGGGTTTCCCAGGCAATCTGCTCGCCTATGTTTATGGACCACACTTACAGACAGACTGTCTGGAAACAAGTCTATTCAGTCAAACACACATGCATAAAGGCTGCTTCTAGCATTGTGGGAATGATGCCTCAGCATTTTCCAGCTTAAAACTCTGAGAACAAACATGGCATGAATGTGTTTTATTGAAAGATGGTTACAGGTACTATTGCATATGAGCGCTGAGACTTCAGAAACAAATTTTGAGATTTCAACATCCAGGAAGGTCAACAAATAAACAGAGGCAGAGGTGACTAATGTAGGTGAAGAGACCAAACACCTGGAGTTAGTGTCCTGTAAGAAGACAACAGCTGAAATCAAGAAACTGTGTGTCCTTCTGGAGGATGGGAAGGAGAATAGGATGGAAAAAAAAACAGAGTGTGGTCAAATGTTCTGACTTTCAAGAGAGTAGGGTTGCTTTGAAGTGATGGGACAATACTGATAAGTGAAAACAGGGACTTACGAGTGTTTTTGAGGGAAAGAACGGGGTCCAGGGAGGAAAGTTGTGTCCCTTAAGGTGAGGTCTTTGAAGAAATCTATTGGGGAAAGGTGAGTTTGGAGAAATAGGTTTATAACGGGACAGGGCTTCTTCAGGGTTCCTCTGCAGGAAGCTCTATCACCAACAGGGTGGAGTGCGGGGTGAGTCATAGGCAGAATGAACCGATTTGGGTAGTAAGGCTGTGTGGGGGTGGACCTGTCTGGAGATCACCTCCAGGTCCGACATTTCAAAGGGAGAGGGGATACTTAYTAGGTAGCTATTTTTAATTGGGAATACGCGGTGGCATTATCCAGCTTGTCTGCTAGGCACTGAGACGCATGAAGGGCTCTACAGCACACAAGGGGGCAGGGAATCTTGCACTTTGACACAACTTCCCTGGGCCCCCGCGGACCTCGGGATTCAGAGCTCTATCCTTGTCTTGCATGAGATCCGCGAGGCCCCAGAGGGTGAAGGGCCTGCGCCTAGGCTGCACATCGGGCTCAGTGCACGCCTGCCCGCCCGCCGGCCCGCCGGCGCCTTCTCCTACACAGCCTCTTGGCCATCGCCTTCCGGCCTGCTCAGCCCGGTGAAGTCGCCCCAGTCGGCTAACCAAGCAGGAAGGGAAAGTCCAGTGGGTGAGGGCACGGGCGAGCGTGGCCCTGGCTCTGCGTCAGCCTGCGGCCACCGCTGACTTATTTCGGACTTGCGTGGTTAAGTTACGCCGAGGGCGCGTCTCTAACCCACGGTTCGCTGAGCCGCCACCCACAGGCCACCCAGCCGCCACCCACAGGCAGCGTCCCAGCACTCCCTCGGGAATCCGGTCGCGGCGCCCCCGCGAGGGCGAGAGAGGACAAGACGATGGCGGGCGCTAGTTTTGGCGTCTCGCAGTCCTCTGCTCCAGGAGACCGGAGCCACGCTCGCCGATCGAACTCCCGGATCCAGTCTGCCGCACCCGCCCCGCGCTCCGAGGCGAGGCGAGAGAGGCGTGGCGCGGACGAGGGGGTGGAGCCAGAGGGCAAGGGCGAGACGGGTGGAGCCAATGGGCATGGGCGCGATGGGCGTGGCCAATCGGCGGGCTGTGCGCGCGGCGCCGAGGGCGAGGCGCATGCGCGCTGGGGCGGCGCGGGAGGCGGGCGGGCAGCGGCGAGGTCTGTCGGGGTGAGGGCGGTGGGGTCGGACTGTTCGGGTCGGGGAGGCGGCTGYCCACGCTGGGCCTCCCGGTTGGAGAGGCAGTCTCGGGGGAGGGATGCGGAGATGGGGAGGCGGCCGCGGCAGAAGCAGCGGGGGCAGGTGTCTCCGGGGAGCTGGGCCCGGCCTTTCAAGATGCTCCCCAGGGAGAAAAGGAGAACCGAGAGCCCCGGGGAAGGCCCTACGCCACCCCGCCACACCGGGCGGGGACTGGGGTCGAGCCCAAAGTGCGAGTTGACGAGGGTCACCTGCTAGTTCCGCCTTGCCTGGGATGTTCCGGTTTTAGGACCGAAGCATCCCTGGCCTCCAGCCCTTTGCAGTGACCCTCTGCTGCGCCCCCTGTCGCACTTCTTGGGCATCTCGGTCCAGATGAGACCTGGGAAGCTGGAGGAGGTCTTCCGACGTTTCACACCGCCTTTTTTATGTTAGGGTGAAGACACCCTTCACAGCACCTTCCGGACATGCCTGTCCTTGTAACGTAAACACTTMAATGGGAGCCTTCCTTTTTAAAGGTAGGTATGTTATAGAGGCCACATCTTGCTTTACATTTTATCCTTTAGAAATAAAATGTTGGGCCAGACACTTAAGGAGTGAGGATGATCCTGTGCTCATGTCAGAGCTTTGACCAAAAAGACCTTTGGTCTGGAATTTTTGCCACCCCCATGAACCTGAGATAGAATTCAGAGGTTCAATTAGAGAAGAAATTAAGTCTTCTCATCAGTTTTCTGTTATCAAACTGAAAAAAAAAAATCTAGATAATGAAAAAATATTATAGGATCCAGACAGAGATGTTCAATTTTTTTTCCTTTTCTAACTCAGAAAGCCTCATGGTGTACCATCTGTTTGCCTCACTCAAGGGAAGGATGAAAGCTCTACATAGGAACGTGATGTGATGGATGAGACCTGTCACTGTGAGTCTTCTGGCTTTTGATTAGTCATCTGATGTCTTCCCCAGTATAACATGACTCTGAGATGATAATTTCAGTGGTTGAGGTATATCTTGTCAATCTGAGTTAAATTACAGAATTGGGCATTTACATTAGTTCTCTTTTTGTTTGTTATTGGTATCCCTGAGTCATATTGGAAAGGATAAGTGTTTTTCATGTGGTCCCAATGAGTCAACTCATAATATTGTGATTATGATACAAATGATAGAAGGCAATTGGATATCAGTTCATGCTCATATAGTCACCACTAGTTTTTATAATGGAAGCAGGTTCCATATGTAAGGGAGGAGTGAATTTGATGGTTTTCTTTTCCATTTCTTAGATACTGTCCCCAAGAAATTAGAAGTAGGGGCAACTTTCTGAGGGGCCACTCTAAGACATTAGGAATTAGTAATGCCATTGAAGAGAGAAAGCAGACATGTATATGAAGTATAGGTAAAGTCCCCAAGATAGAGATGCATTTTATCTCTCACTACATGTTTTTTGTTTTGGCAGATGCAAGTATTACGTCACTCTGAACAGACACTGAAAAGAGCTCTCATCTCTAAGAACCCAGCGCTTGTGTCACAGTATGAGAAATTAGATGCTAGGGAACAGCAATTAATGAAGGAAGCCTTCCAGCCAACCAGTGATCTTTATGGACCTATTATTTTGCAATCACAATCAGACTGGATAATCTCACATCCTGAGGCTCCTCAAGACTTTGAGCAGTTTTTCAGTAATCCCTACAGAAAGATACCCTCTCCAGAGAAGCACAGTATTTATTTACTGGCCATTGGTATATATTGGAAATATGATGGTTTTAGTTTGGTTTTGCTGTGGCTCTGTTGTCAGGGATGGTTTGGGCCATTGGTCTATTCAAGTGGGCAAATTTTTATGGCTTTTTAAATTTCTTTGTGGTGGGGATTGAACCCAAGGCCTTGTGCATGCTAGGCAAGTGATCTTTCATTGCAATAATAGAAGTTTTGTAGCTAAACTGACTTAAAAGTGAACATTTTATTTCTTTTTA